ATACTCTGTCTCTTGCTCGCTTCCAAGGATGCCATTGGGTAGCACAGCAGTGATTAACAGTTGCATGCATTTCTGGACTGTTTAATTTAGAGAGATTTTAGTTAACTCCATCAAGAACTTTCGTCCATGGGTATTAAAGTGTTTTGTTAGAGATTTTTACAGCCATCTCAGTGATTGTATATCCTTGATGGAAGTGATGAAGAATCACTGGAAGCCCCTAACTCTCCTCATTCCATGTTCTATGGAGAAATAATAACTTGTTTGATATGTGGGCTTTTCAGCTTCCAGTTAATTTTAGAAAATTGATATGTAAGTGAATACCTCTGCAATGTCTGCACTTATATAAAATCATAGAATCACAGAATAGTTTGGATTAGAAGTGACCGTCAAAGTTCATCTAGTCCAACCCCCTTGCACTAAGCAGGGACATCTTCAACTTGATCAGATTGCCCAGAACCACATCCAGCCTGGCCTTGAATGTCTCCAAGGATGGCACATCCACCACCAATCTGGGCAACCTGTTCCAGTATTTTACCGCCCTCACTATAAAACATTTCTTCTTTACATCCAGCCTGAATCTCCCCTCTTAGTTTAAAATCATCACCCCTCATCCTATCACAACAGGCCCTGCTATAAGATCTTTCCCCATCTTTCTTACAGGCCTCTATAAGAACTGAAATGCCACAATAAGGTCTCCACAAAGCCTTCTCCAGGCTGAGCAACTCCAACTCCCCCAGCCTTTCCTTATAGCAGAGTTGTTCCATCCCTGTGATAATTTTTTTATAAACCCATGGTGTTAAAATGGATTGAGTTGAAACCCAGGAGGATTATTTGACAGGTTTGGTGGTCTCTAGAATTTTTAAAGCTTAAGACTGTTCACTAGATATGCATTTTGCTTTGTCTTGTTGAAAAGAAAAAAAAAAATCTTCAAAAATAGCATGGGATGTGGTTTGCAAACCTAATAGCTTTGTTAAAGTGACAACAGAATTTAGCTGGCCACTAAGAAGGTATAATAAAGGAGTTGGCAGAGTCCGTCTGCCTCCCCACATCAAATGAAGTCTTGTTCTGTAGCACACTATGTCATCAGAGTCATAGAATTATGGCGTATTTGAGGTTGGAAGGGATCTCTAGAGATAGAGATCATCTAGTTCAGCCCGCCTGTTCAGAGCACGGTTGCCTAGAGCCACTTGTCCAGAATCCTGTGCAGATGGGTTTGAATATCCCCAAGGGTGAAGGTTCCGCAACCTCCCTGGGCAGTCCGTTCCAGTGTTAGGCCACTCTTACAGTAAAAAAGCATTTTCTTAGTTTCTGTTTATTTGGGTTTTTTCATTTTTTTTCTTTTTTTTTTTTTCTGTATTAATGTTAGAATAATTCATTTTACTACAAAAACAATTCTAGCGAAGTTAAAGCTAAGATATTGCTTGCCTTTAAAAAAAAATAAAAAAAGAAACCCCTAATTCCTATGAGTTACCTGGTCTAGCCCAGGGCTTGCAACTTGATTTTTACGTGTATGTTACATCACACTTCTTCACAGTTCAGAAGGCTATGAAACCACAAAATAGCTGTCACTAGTTTGGATAGGAAATTATACTGCTGATTTCTCTGCTGATAAATAAAATTGCCAGAGAAAGGTTTATCCCAGTCTCTGACCATACCAAATCCTGCTGACTTGTAATAAGAGCACTAATAGTGATACACTTAAATTGAGGTTCAAGTGTAGGTGTGTTTAACAGCACTTATTTTCTTGATTCCACATCTTCATTTGAAGACATGTCTTGTCTGACAAGTATTATTTAAACCTATTGCCTACTTCTCAAAAGGCTGTTCAGTATTATCAGTATGCTCCAGCTGCTGCTGTTCATAGCATTTTGTTGATGTCTTCTCTACCTTTACTTTGCAGGTAGTGACACGAAAGTGTACATCTACCAAGCACCTACAGGTCTGAAATCTTAGTCTGAAACTCCAATATGTAGGAAAAATAGCATTTTACAAGTGTTCTAATTTGTGTAGGCGTATGTTATCCAGTAGAGAACAAAGGTCCTGAAGACTATGTGCAGCAGTGGCTGAAAAGAAGTGAGCAGTGCTAAAGACAGCTTATCAGGTGCTCATTTAGAGAGAGTCTGGCTCCTTTTAAATTGAATTTACAGCCTCTTTGGGAACCACTTTGCTCCCAGCCTCCCATATGCACATCATGTGTGCATATATACATATATATACATCGTACAATGGTTTGGGTTGGAAAGGACCTCTAGTTCCAACCCCTCTGCCACAGGCAGGGACACCTTCCACTAGACCATGTTGCTCCAAGCCCCATCCAACTTGGCCTTGAACACTGCCAGGGATGGGGCAGCCACAGCCTCTCTGGGCAACCTATGCCAGGGTCTCACCACATACATGCATGCATACAAACATTGTAGGTTTAAATGATTAAATAATAAATCTGAACAAAGGTTAAAATCTAATAAGGAAGCACCAAGATACTGTATTAGAGGCACATACACATAAAAGCAATTATTAAACTTCAGCCCTGGGTGCACATTTCAAATACCTCACCCTTGGCCTGAGCAACTGTGCCTTCTCTAAATTCAAAAGGTCCACAGCCAAAAGGTGTGTATCACTTAAGACCTTGACAATGTAAATAAATAAAAAATAGAGCATGATAAGGTCAACATATCATGATGGATGTCTTCTCCTGGTTCATTTGAAGTTACAGTTTGCAGGATGCTTGAAGGTCTTGCGAATACCTGTTAGCACCAGTCTGCACAAGGAAACAGGAGGAAAATGAACAGATGGCAACATTTTAGTTTGTGGATTAACGATAATTTAGTGCCAAAAGGGAAATGCTATTGTTTAAAATGCAAAGCTTTCTATTTATTCTTCTCTAACTCCAGACTTCTGGCAGTACAGTTTCTGACAATCATATTTTTCTTTAAAGTGCTCCCTTTTTGAATCTAAGGGTTTGTTCAGGGTGGTTCTGTTTCTGTTTTTTTAATCGGAGCACAACAAATAAATTTGAAAAGCTATCTCACAGATAGAACATACAGTCCATTAAGCATGGACTTCAAAGCTCAAGGACTGTCAGAAATAAAGGCCTGTGAATATTAGTCATCCTTTCACTAGATCCATCAAAGTACGTCAAGTGCACGAGGTTAGCACAACTGTAAACATTTGCAAGACTGAAGCCAACAGATCACTCTTAATACAGATGCATTGCATGACAAAATTCTGTAACATATTTGCAATATGAAATATACTATAAAAGGCAGAAAAAAAGGTTAAAATTTGCATACAGTATGCAATAGTATAGTTATAACAGTATATCTAAGTACAGGCCTTTAGATCTTTTTACGTCCTAATTCTACTTGCTCATATTTTAGGTCAAGTTTATATGTCAGGGGATAGTACATTACAAAAGCAATGTTTTACATATCACAATTTCAAGACAACCTTTAAAAGAAGACAAAAGTCTTGTGTTTGTCCATTGGAATCATGTTTGGTTTTAAGCTGTATATCTCCAGGGAATAAGAATATATTTTTACAAATAGAACAATTTTGGCCTATCTCTTCCTTTATGTTTCAGTGAAAGTTTAACTGAATGGGTCCTTGAGTAAAACCTGGATTTACAGGCTTCAAACAGGAATTTAAATGTTCTTTTGGTATCTCTGAGACCTGCAGACTGAAGTCAAATGCTTGATGATGTTTTTCTTTCAGGAAGATCACTAGCAGAACTAGTTATGTTTACATGTACCCTGGAGTTCACTATGTAAAATGCAAGCATCTGAGTCAAAGGATTTTTTACCAAATCTTAAAATGTTTTCTAGAACAGTATAATCTGTGGTATACCAGATAATAAATATGAAAATAAAGCAAGAGTTATTCATCTTGAGAAAGCTGAGGGCTTTAATCTCCAATACAGGCTCTGGAACCAGTGAAAGTTTCTTCTGTCAGCTGCCTGATTTAAAAAAGCGTGTGTGTATGTATGTGTGTAGACTAGTACACATATATCCTACCATCTTTTGTGGTGAAAGTTTGTTTCTTTAAAGGCTTTCTATCTCAGTGAAGTATCAGGCAGTCAGTAATTTCACAGGACAACCAAAGGGATCAAAAAGTGTTGCACCTTTTCTGTAGCACAAGGAAATGCACATGACCATTCCCGCCAAATTCTTTACTGTGAGGGTGGTGAGACACTGGAACCGGTTGCTCAAGGAAGTTGTGGATGCTTCAACCCTGGAAGTGTTCAAGGCCAGGTTGGATGGGGCTTGGAGCAACCTGATCTAGTGGAAGGTGTCCCTGTGCATGACTAGATAATCTTAAGGTCCCCCCCACAACCCAAACCATTCTATGATTCTGTGATTTTATTCCTCATTTTAGGTTAGTTTTAAAGCCCTTCCAAAATCTCACACCACTCTTCCTGTTTCAATGAGGCATTAGGAAACAATTAGCTACTAATACTTTTTAATTTGCTCAGGTTTTTAATTTGTAGGTTGGCAGCCTGTGGTGTCACACAGTGCAGTGGTCTGAGCAGGTAACCTTAGGGAAAGGAGAGGAGGGAGGTGCTCCACCAGCCAGGCAGGGATGCTCAGTTGGGAGCACTGGTCCTGTCTCTCCTCAGCGGTGCACATTTCCCACACACAGATTATCCCAAGCAGCCATCCATCAAAGGACAGGGGCATAGCACATACCTCAAATACTTACACTGCCTGCACTTTGAGAACTAGACAGTTCATTCACATCTGTGAACGGGTCACTTTTAAAACATCAAAATACCATCTGGCTGCACAACTGTTTCTAATTACTTCCCTGCCTAGACTGTAAACTTCGGGGTTTGGCACCGGCCTCCCTCCCAGAGTGCTGCCCAAATCCCGCTCCCAGGCAGCTAATCAGAGCCACTGCCGCACGGGGGGAGCAGCCCTGGAGCCGGGCTTGTCCAGCTTGCAGCTCTGTGCACTCTCGGCAGGTCTGTCCGGCCGGCTGTCCGGCTGTCCCGCTGCAGGAGTAGTAGGGCAGCTTGCGCCATGTACTCACAGAGTTTGCTGGAGCTGATGGTGCTGCTGCTGGTCACCTCGCTGCCGGCCGCTAACCTCGTGCCGCCGGCCGGCCCCCTGTCCCTGCGGTAAGTCTGGCTCTGAAGGTCCTGGGGGGTGGTTGCGACTGATGTAAGAGGTGTCTGGAGTGCAGAGGCTGAGGTTGTGGAGGGAGCACTGGAGTGGTTTGTGAGCTCTTCCTCTGCCTGCTTAAAAGTGACACTGGGGGAAGGGTCTGGGTCCCTGGGAACCTAAATAGATGCTGTGGAAGCACTGGGGGTCTATTTGCAATGCTGTATTTTATGCCCGAGGTGTAGATTTTTAAAGGAGTTAGGGGGAAGATCTGGACAGTGATGACTCTCTACACACAAACTTCTAAATTCTGCTGCCCGAACAGAGCAGGCACCTATCCACAAAACCCTGTGAGTTCCTGCTCAGCAGGTACACTGCACTTCACTCTTCTCCTCTACCAGGGCCAGCACCTGACTGGCTCTTAGAGCCAGCACCTCTTTTGCTCCAGAGCCTGCAAAATCTAGTGTTTGAGAAGTGCAGCTACTAAGCCTGCAAAATCTAGTGTTTGAGAAGTGCAGCTACTAGTCACCTGAATCCTCTGTATTCCCTTGAGTTGTGAGCACCTATTTTTGGCTTGGCCAGTCCTTTGTTCTGTTTTCCTACAGTCCAGCTCCTGATGAGGCAATGTGTGATTTTCCCTGTGCATGATCTCTCTGTGCTCCAGTACATGGTACAGTTGCATGGCAGAGCTGCAGATCTTTAGATCTAGCATCCAGATTCTGCTGACTTTACTAAAGCCACAGTGACAAGCTACATTATTGCATGGAAAGCAATGATTACTTTGGTTTCCTTTTCTGATGAAAGCATGGATCCTATGTATCTGACAACCAGAAAGATTACTTTGGCAATGTATTTTATTAGAATCAACCATAGTTTTGCTTTTTGATATCAGATATTCCTGTTATGCTACCTAGATGTTTGGATGTATGCATCTTTTCCAACCGTCTTGTAATAGTTCAGATTAAAATATTTCATGATAAACAAAATATAGAGATATATGCTTATATACCAGATACACATAATGAAAAAGACGATGAACCTAATTTGGTTAACATGGTCACTAAAATGCTATATAAGCATTAACACAGGTAGCAATGAGATTTCTGATGAAAGAGAAGGAAATTGTGTGAGTTGAGTCAAGTAGTAGTTTACAAGCACAACTAAACTGTTAGCATTTAAAACAATATTCTGAATCCATGGCAGGAGTGTGGTTGCCCTTGAGCCAAGCTGTCATCAGACCAGCTCTGAGCTGCAGCCACTGGCTTTGACCACAGCTTGTTCTGTTTGCTGTCCTCTGCAGGAGTGGTTTGGGTCGTTCTTCATGCCGGCTGTCCCAAACTGAGTCAGAGCTCAGGTGCCGTGTTCCAGGGGGAAAGCTGTGCAGTGACAGGGGCAGATGTGAGTGTGGAGTCTGCATCTGCCAAGTTACTGAGTCTGGCAAATATTATGGTCCACTGTGTGAGTGCCATGACTGGATGTGTGAGACCTATGATGGGAAGATCTGTGCAGGTAAGGAAGCCATGACAGAAGCTCAGAAAATTAAAAGCGTGTATTACATCCAGAAATATGTTGGGAACACAGCACACTGATACAGAAGAAACACAGTTATATTTGTGTTCCTGCACCATGACTCTAAATGGGATTGTGGGCACATCCAAGGATTTAACAAGATTATAGGATACAAGTCAATGGCACTGTCTTTGCTATAAAATGGGACTTCACCCAGCGTGAGCTTTATCTGCAACAGAGACAAGAGCAGGAGTTGCTTTGGGTTGGGAATCTCTGCAAACTGTGTTTGGAATCTAATAAAGGACACGATATTGCATGTGGTTTTCATATAATATCACTGCATTTGAGTTGCTTGCCTGATGATGGCACATGGTATTTACCAACGCTTTAAACTATCTCTGAATGATCAGTTTTGTCCTGTAATTATTTGTTTTCTTCTGCTGCTATGAGGAAGAAGGTTTGCTGTGGCAGGTACCACACTGAGGGTGTATAAATATGAAAACTCTGGTTTTCTTGAAGTAATGATAATGCTTCCAAATAGAGACTTAAAACAATGTAATTGTATTGTGGTTTCAGAGATTTCCCCACTGACACAGTGTTTTTTAATGACAGATGAAATAACATACATTTTTGGGACAGAATTTAGCCCCTGCCAGTTGTTGGAACATGTTGCTTGGTTTGCATCTAAGCATTATCACTCTTTCATCTTTCCAGCTGTCTTTACTTAAGTTTCTGAGCTATTTTGGTCAGATTTTGGACTTTTTTTTTTTTTTAAGCAGCTTAGAGTAGGATTTTAGAAAGAAGCAGGGAGAAGAAATGCCATCACATTCCTAAGGGGATTCAGCCTGGAGCTTGATGTAAGGAACCAGAAGGGTACTTCATTTCTAGTATTTGCTTCAACAGCTTTACCAGATTCACACAAACGTGTCATCTTTTCAGGCCAAAAATTGCAATTAGGTCAATGGGAATGTTACAGGAATTCTCCTAGTAAGAGGACAATACAAATGCATTCCAGCAGTGGGTTTGGCATATTTTGTAGGAAAAAAGAGCAACTTATTTTAGCAACAATGTAGCTAGGAATAAGAAGTCCAATAATAACATGAAAAGATCAAGGATGGGATTATAAGAAAAATGTTTGTATTTGTTACCCATAACTTTAGAATTTTGTGGAGAAACTGATTTATAGACTGCAGTTATCAGTGTTAATCCAGGTACATAAGAAATATTGGTGGGCTGCTGATCATATCAGTGCATTGCTGTCCCAAATGTGAATTTGCTGATTGGTGGTGTGATTTCAATATGCTTGCTGTTGTTGCCGGGGTAATTGTATAAAGTGAAACTGAAAGTTCCTTCAATTGTAATATTCTGCTATGAACCCCAGCATTATTTTCCTGTTAATGTCATGAGCGGTGGCTGCAAGTTTTGCCAGTGCTTTTGCGAAAGGGGATGCTGACAGGATAAACAAACCCGAGAGATTTGTAACAGTATTCAGCTTTATGTGTAGCCCTTTATGCAGCAGTTCAAAGATGTGAATGTCAAGTGATTAAGCATTTTAAAAATCACCATTTGTTGTAGCTGACACATTTGATAGCTGGAGTATTGAAGCCGTGCTACCTCTGAGATGTCAAATAGTTTAAATTCACTCTTCTGGAAAAAAAACTTAGTAAAAACTTCAGTACAAAGGCATGGGGAGGAAAACAGCTGTGAAGAGCCTATGGGTTTTGTTGGTTTGGTTTGTTTTCTCTACAATGGTGCTGAAAGTCCCGCTGGCTTTCTTGGAGTCCAGGGCTGTCCAGCATTCTCCCTGCAGGAGAGTGGCCCTGGCTAACTCCTTCAGGACTGTGGCATGGCACCTGGATCCAGACAGGGAAATGCCTCCTTTTGGCTGTGCTTGCCCTCTTCATTTCCCCACCACGGTTTTAGTCACTTAACTGTAAGTTGTGTGTATGTGGGTGGAGAGGAGCATGGAAAAGATGGTCAGATCTAGTATAACTGGCAGGAGACTTGTCCTTATGTTGTATGACTAACACCCCCATCCCCAACCATTCAGTGAACTGCATCTCTGATATTCCTTAGCATTATACCATCAAGCTGATTCCTGTGTGTGACATAGTTCCCTTTGCATTTTTTAGCGCGTTCTTTGACTCTGTGATGAAACTGTGTTTCCTCTAGGTGAATAGCCAAAATGTCTTCCTGCAGTTCTATTCCTGTTTCATGCTTTGCTTTTGTTTTTCCTACTTTTATTTTGTCGCTTGCTGTTCCATTTTGTTGTGGGTCTCTCCTGCTGAGTACAACAATGGCTGCTGACTGGTACCACGTGCAGAACTTCTAGATGCTAATTGAATATTCCTCTAGAGAGCCATGGTATTTGAGATTAATGCTGTTTCAAACAAGCTACTTTTCAAGCTGCCAGGGTGATGACTTTTTCAAGTGACTGGTGGCTAATCACCAGTGATGCTCATATTCCAAGCTGGACAAGCAGAGCTGTTTGAGTCACGAGTGCCAAAGATAACTGTGTTTTTCTGCCAGTGAGTTCAGACATACCTCTACCTTTCTCTCCTGTCCCAAGCTAAACAAAATATATGGGTGCTGAATATGCAGCTCATTATCTTCAGTGCAATTCCTGGGTCGGATCCAACTTCTGGACCAGTCATTAAACACCCATATTCTGGAGAGGGAAGAGCTGAAGATAGAGGTGATTTGCTTTTTCTTATAACCTTCTGTAAGCAATGAGAAAGAGATTCTGCCATGAGTAATGAAAAAGAGCAGATGCAAATGCCTCTGGCCTTTTACTCTCCCTTGAGACTTCTTTGCTGTGTTTCCCTTCCATGGTGTTTTTTTTTTGTTGTTGCCCTGTATCCTACTGAGATTAATAAAGCAATAGGTGGTATCTCATGGAGTCAGAAACAAAGAAGAGAGAAATTAATTTCTGTAGGTCAAGTAATTGAGTTTTCTGTCTTCCTCAATGGCTTTTATATTTTCCTGCCATATCGCAGGGTGTAGAGGAAAGAAGACTCCCAGTCCTGTCATTCTCTTTGCAGTGTTGGTGACATCTTTAGTTTCTTATTTGCTGCTGGTCTTCACAGAAATGAACTAAGAGGAGAAAGACTGAACCAAACACTGATTCAAAACCCCGAAGGATTTATTCTTTATTCAGGTCAGACAATGTATTTGATGCTGTTCATTTGCAAATAGTAGTTCTAATCTCAGACCGTTTCATGTTGCCTCAAGCTTTCTTAGCATAAGTGGACCCTGTGTTTTGTGTAAAGGAAAGTGGAATGCAGCACTAATTCCTATCACATCTCTGCTTGATACCTCTTTTTCTGTGGTTTTGCTGTAGAGAGGAAAATCAATTTTAGTGAATTTTATTTCTCTTTTTTAAGCTAATCTTTTTTACTGTGCCTCTAATTAATGATGATAGAAAAGGTAAACGAAGTGCAGACTTCCATGGCAAAATGGAATGGGAGCACTAGGTCCATTCCTAGAGAATGGACCATGGAAATTGCCAGCTGGAACATGAGACAATATGATTGCACTTCTCGTAGTTGGTGAGATTGAGGAACAGAAATGATTCAGTGACAACACAGAGAGCAACATAGGAAGAAGGTTCCTTTTTGCTCAGAACTATATTAATTGCTGTTGTTTTTCCATAGTTATTAAGATTTTATAAACAATTTTTATTCTGGACTGAAATACCTTTTGCACCTACTATAATTGCTGCACTATAGTGGTACTGCGTGATTTACCACTGCCATAAGCAGTTGATGGGGAACTTCTGTTGCAGCTGTTCAGGCCAGTGAAAGATTTTTCCATTTCTGTTCCAAAGTTGCAGATTCATAAGTGCTGTACCTATTTTAAGACTAGTTTAGCAATGTAATGGCAGTGTTAGTTGTAGTTTTTCACAGCCTCAAGTGTTATCATAGCTATGTAAAGGACGGAAAGATATCAGTGCCATTATTTTCCACCCTGTAAGGCTTTAAACTATGCAGAGAACAGAAGTGAAAAATTAAATTGACCAGGAGTGGATGTAGAGATACAAGATAAATTAAAATTAAAGTGTTGATGTAATACATAGTTATGCATCCATGTGATTTTATTGGATATATGGCCCTATATATCAGTTGGAGAGAGAAAATGGAAAATGCAATTTGGAGAACATTTTGAGCTGAGGACTGCTCTGCGCAAAAGCTGAGTAGTGAGCAATCTTAGTTGAGTTGGAAATGCTCTAACAACTCTACCTTTTCATTCCTGCTGAAGGGAGGTCTGTCATACTGATTTTTCATTGAGCAGCATTTCTTGCTAAAATTGTGAAGAAAAGACAGTCTATGACCTGCATTGACTGCTGTTTGATCCAAAGTGAAATTCAAAGCCTTGGATTTTGAGAACAGGTGTAAGCCTCTTCTCTAAAAGAGGTCATGTTTGCAAAGATTCAGCTGTGGCATATGTGGTCATTGGACACATCCTCCTAAAAAGACCAAGTTAAAAATAGCGCAGGAGGCTACTCATGAAATTGGAGGTTGTGTTTCGTCTCTGACCTGGTTTGCTAGATTTCAGAACTTGGCTTAAGTTACATTTCCTTGTGAAGCAGGGATGAGTAGCTGTGATGATAGCATATATACTTAGCTCAAAACAGGTACCCCAGAGTCTAGTAGAAATCAAATTGTGGTAACATAGCCTTATTGCGTGCTTATTCCATTGCTAAGTGCATGAGGTCCTGGCAAACTTACAAAGCACGACTGTATTATTCTCAGCTTTATGCTGTTTGTGCCTGATCTGGGCAAACTCAAGTAGCCTATATACACCTACAATTGCTGTAGTTCCAAATGCAGTGTTTATTCATAGCAGTTGCGAGTGAGGCATGATGAAAAAACTCAGGAAAAGGCACTGGAGTGAGATTATTGGAAGGGAAGCATTTTAAAAGTATTTTATTAAACGATTTGTAGCTTAATGCCTAGTCCCCATTTTGATCACCTTTATCTGCAGATACTACTTTGGAAAAT